AGACAACCTACAATGTGGGAAAATATTTTTAGCAGCTGTAGCTCAGACAAAAGTCTACTATCTAGAATATATAAAGAACTTAAAAAAATCAGACCCCCCAAATTCAAAGACCCAATTCAAAAATGGGCATCCAAAATGAACAGACATTTCTCAGACAAAGAAGTAAAAGTAGCAAATAAGCATATGAAAAAGTGTTCAACGTCACTGTTCATTCAAGAGATGCAGATGAAAATAGTGCTGAGATTCACCTCACCCCAGAAAGAATGGCTGCTATCAAGAAATCAATGAATAACAAATGCTGGCAGGGGTGTGGGGAGAAAGGAACCCTTCTCTATTGTTGATGAGAGTGCAGACTGGTGCAACCACTGTGGAAATCAGTATGCAGATACCTCAAAGAACTAGGGCTAGCAGTCCCATTTGACCCAGCTATTCCTCTGCTGGGTATCTTCCCCAAAGAATTAAAAGAATCATACCACACTGATATATGTGCACCCATGTTTATATCGGCACAGTTTGTAATAGCTAAATCTTGGAAACAACCCAGTGCCCATCAACTGTAAACTGAATAAAGAAGATGTGGTTTTTTATAAAATGGAGTACTATTCAGCCATAAAGAATGAGAAACTAGAGACATTTATAGCTAAATGGATACATATTGAGGCCATATTCTTAAGTGAAATAAATAGGACACATGTGTATATACTGAATAATTTCTCTAGTGTGAGAAATTGAAAATGTAAAAAAGGATTAAAATAATTAAAATGAATAATTGATAATTTGAAATAGGAAGAAAAGGTCCAAAGGGGTAGGAGAAGTGGGAGGGGAAGGGGAAAGGAAAGAAGGGAAAGAAAAAATTATGAGAAAATAAAAAATTGGAAACAAAGACTATGTAAATAGGGAAGGGTGGAGGGGGTGAAGGGCACACAGGTAATGTGGAAAAAATAAGAACCAAGATACATCATGTTCAGGTTCAAGCCCCCAATGATAAATGTAAACGTATTGTATACCTAAAATGTGCCAATAAAAGAATGTATGCAAAAAAAAAGTTTATGGCAGCTTTATAGATAATGATCAACCAAATGCCCATCAAGAGAAGAGTGGATAAACATATTGTAATTTATTCATATACAATGTAATTTATTTATGTACAATGAAATATTACATAGCAGTGAGAATAAACTACTACAGCTACATGTAATGTAGGTGAATCTCCCAGACAAGATGCTGAGCCAAAGAAGCCAGACTGCATACTTATTCCATTTAGAAAAAGTTTAAGGCCACGCAAAAATGAAGAATGTATGGTCATAGAAGTCAAAAGAGTTGTTATTTTTAGGGAGATATTTACTGAGAAGTGGAATATACTAGTACATATTTACCAACTAGCTCTCAAAAAAAAGCTATAGCAACAAATCACCCCAATTTTACAGTATTTTCCAGTTTCAATGGTGTAAATATTCCCACCATGTTGAGTCACACACTACCTATGTGATGTCACTGAATAGACTTGGGAGGACATACATATATGTGTGATCTGCTCACGCAAGTTTGCCTGGGCCCCCTCCAGTACATCCTTAGAAGATGGCATGGAGAAGAAATCTGGTGCTAGAAATTCTTTGCATTTGATCTAGATAACGCTTACACAAGTGTATACATAATCACAGAACTATACAGTTAAGGCTTGTTTACTGTATGAATATTATACTCCAATAATAAGTGAAATAGTAAAATGCTTCTCAGAACTAGAATGAAAGAGTAGTTATAACTACTGTGTCTCAGAGAGAGACCCAGAGAGGTACCAGAGACTCAATGATAGGAAGAAGGTCACCCAGATCTTGTCCACACAATGGACAGGCAACAAAAATGAGACAGTATTAGGAGTCAGTAATGTACAATAGAAAAGAGATGGTGGACCACCTCTCAATTATCAGCTGGACCACTCTCAATGATTTCATCTTCAAAATTAGTTCAATCTTATCACCAATGATGAGTCTTGTTTCTGAACATTCCAGATGGCCTGCCTTATCTAAGGCCCTGTCACTTTGAAGGGAACATTAGTCCACTGGGTGGCTCTAGATGAACATTGCAAGCATAGAATCAAACACAAAAACACCAATGTAAACAAGGTTATTTTTACTTTGAGTAAAAATGTACACTTATATAATTCTTGTTATGTATGTCAAATCTTAAATATGTTTGGTATGTGAAGAAGATATTTGGGGTCTATCAAAATGAGATATTTTAGTAAGAAAGCTGCTTCTGACCTATGTATCACTCACTTAATTTAATTATAAAGCCAAAGCAAAATTTTCAAGGGGCTTGACTGATGAAGGCTTCATTCACAGGTTCATTTGTTCCCAATCTGGCAATACAGGACCATAGAAAACACCAAACCAAGTACCTAGAGAAGAAAGTAATATGATTAACATGAAATTTAAGGCAAAACACTGGAGACATTATAAATAAACAAAAAGAAAGTATTCTATTGATTCTCTCTACTGAATCTTTCCTGGGTGATTGATACAGAAGAGCATTTAGAAGTCTGAGGTGTTTTTTATTTTTGTCGTGTGTGTGTGTGTGTGTGTGTGTCTGTGAATCAGGATACTTTTCAGTTGACCAATCAATATTTAACAGCCCTTTTTCATTGTGTATAGAAGCAGTCACCACAGCATCCCCCCCTCCTTTGTCCAGCATGTACATCTTTTTGTAGGGTATCTCCCTTGGAACACTAAGGACCTCAGGACTATAGGGGCTAAATATACCTATTACCTCCATAAACAGTCTATATCACCTGGTTTAGATCATCTGCATAAAAATCAAGGAGTCTAGAATATCTCTTGGCATAGTTTTAGTTATTGCCTAGTAGAATGAAAATAATAAGTAACTTTTTGTTCTTTAAGAAAAAACTTCTAAATTATGGTGAATAGCTTAACTCAGGAATTTTCTTTGAAGTGAAAAAGCACGGCTGAAAATCTGGCACAATTTCCATCTAATTAGCTCTTCTAACACTAAGAAACCCTAAAGCTTGCTCTAATTTGCTCTGGAGTTAGTGACTTACAGGTGGTGGCTTTGATATAGAAATGTCAGAAAAGACCTGTGTGCATTACAGATTGAAAATTCCTTCCCACCATTTCCCTTTGAAGGGAGGCAGGAATTAGGGCAAGGTGTCTTTTATGCTGAATTATCTCAAACACTATTATGGTGTAAATTTTCTGCTTACTAATTCCTTCCTGGAAATGTGATAAAACTCCCACTTAATATTTCTTCCTTCATAAAAAGAAAAATAAAATAGACATCAATTCTCTGAAGTAAAGATTTTCATTCATAATGTTTTAAAATTCAGGACTAAAATGTAGTCTTTTTACCTTGAGCCCAGTCCTTAAGTCTGGGAAAGAAGAAAGCAGAAGGCATAAAGAAAATGGGCAAAATATGGAATAAGACAACTATCATCTTTTACCGCTACATCCTTGAAATGGAAGCCCATCGAATGTCAACAGAGTAGACAGGTATATCACACTCTTTTGAATTCATTGTCTCTGAAATGAACATGCATGAATGTTCAGAAAAATAGTAAATAAAAGGGAATTTTCCTAAACTTCTTAAATGATATGTACAGTTTCCCTTATTTTGAGGCAGTTTTTAAAATGTGATAAAATTATCATTTTTCAACTTCTCTTTTCCCAGGACTTCTTATCAGGATAACTTTCATTTTATAAAGTGATGACTAGCAATGTCAATGACTTATTAGTTTTTAAATTAAAGAGAGAAGTGAAAGTGCTGATCATTTTCTGGTGCTTATCAGTTGCTGGAGTCAAACGAGAGCTATGATCATCTGGGTAAGTCTAAATAATGAAAATTCCAAAAGTGCCTATAGATTTTTTTAATAGAATAAAACATTCTGAATAGATTCTTAGTATCTAATTTGAGAAGAGCCCCTCAGGTCTATATTCTTAGAAAAGCCTCGAAAATAATTCTTGGTTCATACCTTCAAAGCCTATGCCAAAGGCCTAAATGTGGGTACTCCCTCTCTTCATAGATGGTCTGAATATATATTTTTGCATGAAGATCAATGCTTCTGTTTCATTAAAATATTTATTAGAAGATATTTCCTCTCCATGCATTGTTCGCTTTAAAATTTGAACTTGAGAAACATTCTATGGCCATATGAGCCTGAATGCACCTGATCTCATCTGAACTTGAGAATCAGAGAACAGAGATGGGCCTAAGTTTTAGGCAATTAGGACTCTAAGAGAAACTATAATACATTTTGGGGTAGATTTTTTAAACTGTATAACACAAGACAATTTTCAAAGTTTCTTTTTGAATAAAGGAAGAAAAAATACATAATGATTTTCTTTTGCTTCAAACATACAATGAGGGCAGATTTTTGATTGAGGAACTGAACCAAAAAAAAAAAAGTTTCCAATAGTTCTTTGAACCAACTGCTAACCACATCTACATAATTAGAAATCACTTTTTTTTTTTTTGGTACCAGGGATCAAACTCAGGTACTTGCTCTTGTGCAGCAGGTGGCGAAACCACTGAGCCAAATCCCCGGCCCTAGAAATCACATTTAATTTAACTGGTCTAACAAAAAAAAGTGGTTACATTTTATGACAAAAACATATATTGTACAAAAGATTTTTATTAAGCCATTTCCCTTCTCAGGCCTATTAAAATGCACTATGCCTTTTGCAATCTTATTTTCCACTAGATTTATTCAAATTTTTGGCAATGCCTTTGGCTATGATAAGAGAGTCAGTGATATTCTCCATCAAGTATATCCTTATTCTTTTTATTTTTTCAGTGGCTTCTTAAAAGCATCCATGAGTTGTAGCCATATCCAATTTTCTGAGTTTGAGTCTAACATGAAATTTAGCATTAATATTGAATTTCTCATTTAAAGCTTACTCTCTTGACCATTTTTGTTTGTTTGTTTGTTTGTTTTTATTATTGATATACTGGTGCTGGGAGTTGAATATAGGTCCTGGGACATGCTAATCAAATGCTCCACCACTGAGCTACACTCCTAGCTTCAATCATTCATTTAAAGTCTATGCTATCAAGATATATGTGGATTGTGCTATATGTTTACATAAGCATGAGTAAACCCAAAATACAAAGTGGAGAAAGAAAAGACATTTTAGAAAATTCAGAATCAAGAGAAATAGATCTAATGCACTATGTCATTTGACTTTGATTCTGTATATACAAAGAAAGCCATATCCTACCAATAGAGAATGCTTTACATTTCAATGCATTAATTTGGGTTACAAAAATTTAACACTCAACAGTCCAATTTCCAGCTAATAGTCGCTATGGTTTCTCTAATACTTGGATAGAAAACTCCACGAGTAACCTGAATGACCGCTTAGAACCCTAATTTGTTTTAATCTCAACTAAAATTCCCATCTGGCAGTGAGGTGGCACAAGAGGTAGGAAGCTGTCAGATTGCCCAAGGGAACACTGCATAGCACTCCAGAAGAGTGAGGCAAAAGTCACTCAGCTAAGCTCAGCAGCCCTCAAAACCATTAACCAGGGAAATGCCTTACACCGAATTCTTGCTAGTGCTCTGAAATAGAATTATGAGTGAATTTGACTCTCTTGATATCTGAATTACCTAACATCTAGGGTAATTCCAAAAATACTTCTCTGAAATAGTCTTATTTCACATTCTCGACAAAGATTTTAAGGCTTTGTCAAAAGCATTTTTCAGATTCTAAAAAACCACGCCAAGAAAAACCATCAAGATAAAAATCCTATGCAGAATATTTTTTCAACATCATAATTATACTGATGAGAGTAATACAGAAGTCTTAATCAGAAATTTCTTGAAAACCTCCTCAAGTGAGATTATAATACATAAACAGAATTTATTAAATTTCTCTAGAATGTATAACACGGAAACAGCTTCCCACACTCTTGAGTTCAGTTTTTATTTTCTATTTCGGAATCATGAGATCTATTTCAGAGCTATAAAGTTTAGTTCTTTGCTTTTACTTGGTGCTTTTTTTCTCATTTCAGGAAACTTTAGCCCTTGCACTGGTTTTCAATGGGAAAAGGATACCTAAACTAAGAGAACTGTGTAAAAACTGGTACTATTTTTTTCTCACAAAGTCATTCAGAAATAACATTCTTAGCTCTGTTCATCTCATAGGACTTTTATCCCCTCCATGTCAGATTCAAGGCTATTTAGGGAGATGCTGGGCCTTGAGCACTTAATGTCAGTTTTTTCCTAAAGCAAGATTGTTTAAAACTTGGTTTACCATAGATATTTATTAAAGGAGTTAATGAACAAAGAGTAGAATTAATGAAAAGTCAATCATGCAATATTTTACATACCTCAATAACTGCCAGTCCAAAAGCTATTCCAATAACTATGATAATGTGTTTTTCTACTGATTCTTTTATCAAAGAAATGCATGTCTGTTTAAAAAAAAAAATCACACAAAAAATTATTTTTATAGCCAGGCCTGGTAGCACAGCCCTGTAATTCCAGCCCTCCTGGAAGCTGAGGCAGAAGGGTGACAAGTTTGAGCCCAATCTGGGCCCCTCAGGCAGATCTTGTCTTAAAATTGAGAATGAGTTGGGAACACAGTTCCATGAAAAGATCCTGGTACCACAAAAAAAGAAATCTTTAGTTATAAATAATCTTTTCCACAAATACCTTCCCAAATTATAAAGCATTTAAAAGACAAAGTTTTGTTTAAACAACCTACTTGCTAAATCTAGGGATTGAGAATTATAAATAATCTTTTCACCAACATCTTCTAAAACTGTAATTTTATAATTTAAAAATTATAAATAATTTTATCCAAACTTCAGATTATTCATTATAGAATTTATACCATCTTGACTGGAAGTTTCAGGTTTGTAATATACACCAAAGTGGTCCTTGATTGAAGTTTTAGTTAATGATATTGTAAATTACCATTTTTAAAACAATGAATTTTCAAAATCTTTTAATAATATTTATCATGATTATTTTTACCTTAAAAAGAAAAAATCATTCTGCTTATCATTATTCTAGTACTTAAGATAAAGAAAAGAATTTAGAAGTATGTCCCTCTGCCACTTTTTGTGAAATTTATTCAAACCAGTATGCAATTCCAACTTTAAAACAGTTTAGAACAAATCTAAAATTTCCAACAATCATAAATTATAGTTTTTAAATACAAAAATTCCCACTGTTATAGTGATTTTGGTTGCATTGCCAAAAAATATATCATTTCTATGATAGTTATATGTATGCAAAAGAATAACAAAATACTGTTGCTTGCTAGATTTAAGTATTTCATAAGTCTTTTCTCTCTTCATTCTTTAACATAAGGTGTTTCTCCATTTATATCTAATCCAAAGCTGTAAGCATTTGAGGAGATTATTATGTCATTTAGGATTAATTATGAGATTAATGATTATATCTACAAAGTCACATTCATCATATTTGAGAAGTTTTTCTCTTTTCATTCTCCCAAGATAACATGGTTATCTTGGCAAAGGAGAGGGAAAAGAAAAGATGAATAGAAATAGGGGAGGGGATCTGAGTTACAAATTTCGTATTTTTCCAGACTTCTTGATGCATGGCAGATGGAAGTATTTGGTGAATTTATGACCTTCTTCTGGGGAAACTAGGGCCGCTATAAGCATATATTTAGCTATATTATGTGTAAACTTTTAGGTAATATCTATGGGGGGTGCTTTGCAGAATCTATCTTGAGTAAAACGTCTTTGCCTTGAAAAGTCTTTGCCTTGAAAAGTCTTTGCCTTGGGTGCAGAAAGGAATATAAAAAGTCATAATAAAAATTTTTACTTTGACACAACATGCTCACATTGTGTTCTGATAAAAAATTTATTGCCTATGAGGTATATCAGATACTAATGATAGCAATTCTTCAGAACAAAGCTCCTTTAATTTTGATAAGATCAGTGATGAAGACAACTGCTCAGGAGGAGAGGAGTTTCCCCTGAGATACTTTACAGAGCTGCCTTGGTTCACAAACTTAATTTGTTCCATGCTTCTGGGGAAGATAGCCACATTTGTGTTGGTGTAGGGAACATGGCACTGTGGTGTTCACTACCTGATGCAGAATTTGCAAATGGAAGCAAAGTTTTACCAAATGTTTCTGTTTGTAAACCAAATTGTTTTTGCCAACTAAGGTACCACTTGTATTTCCTTTTATATATTAACTTCAATTAACAGTCACTAAACTAAAACAATGCTAGATTGAAAATAATCTTTAGGTATTATATAAATTAATTCATTGTGAATTGTGACAGCTTTTATGTATCTCTCCCCCAATTAACTAGATCACAATCTCCAGAAGATCCATAAGTATGTCTGTTTTTAACAAGAATCTATCTGACACAGAATAGGAACCAAAGAAAAACAGCAAATGAATGAAACACTTATATCTACTGTCATTTGTGTGCACATTTCCTTCCAGGCAGAAGGAACAGCTAATGATAAGTTCTGTGGTGAGGGACAAATGTCATGTCCTCCATGAAATCATACCCTGAACTTCACAGGCCTAGTTAGATGGGGACCTGTAACATCTGTGTCTGCACCTATCCAAGTAATACCAATAGTCCATTGGATTAAAGTTGCCTAATTATGTCTTATCAGATCATTATTATGGACATTGTACCCTATTTAAAATGAATTTCCAGTGACTGATAAAAGGCCTGGATTATAGGAGGTAGTTGACGAATATTTGATGAATTAATCAACAAAAAGAAATATAACAGCAACATATCAATGTACACAAGTCATATAAATATGATATCTACAACACATAAAATATACACTCATTTTTTCAAATTGACTTTAAAATTTCATGCGACTTTTTGATGGCAACAATTACTAGGTAAATTGATAGGTATATTTAAGTTGGAGAACTCAAAGCACTAAACATCAAATCTTTTCTTAATTCTTATACAGTTCTTCTTGAAAAAGTAAACCTTCTTTTTGTGGTACTGGGGATTGAACCCAAAGGCACTCTTCCACAGAGCTATATCACCAAACCTTTTTATTTTTTATTATTAAACAAAAGACATGGTCTCATTAAGTTGCCTAAAAAGACTCAAACTTGCAATCCTCTTGTCTCAGCCTCCTTGTATGATGGGATTACAGATATTCATGGACCACCATGCTCTATTGAAAAAAGAAATCATTTATTTAAAAAATTTGACTTTTAAAATTAAAGTGAAAATATTGATTGCTAGGACTTATGTTAGAACACAAAATTACTTAGAGAAGAGCATAATGATTAAGTTCACCAAAAACAGAACAAAAAACCTCTCTATTAGTTTGTATTTTGCCTTTCATTATAGAATGCTACTTTGGCCTTAAAAGTTGGATTTAAATGATGTCAAACTCATAGGAGAAATGAAATATTTCAAATTTTATATGGCTTCTATCCTTTAGTAAAGCTTTTTTAAATTTGAGTAATTTCTGAGATTTCATATCACAATTCCCAGGGTAGTTGATGATTTCATTTTTTTGTAAAGACTTTCATTGCACAAAGAAAATAACACGGTCACTTACTCTGCCAAGCTTGATTTAGTACTTACCTCTTTATAAACACTTTTTCCTTTATATGTTGTACAGACATTTGATGAATATTCACATGCACATGACTGAGAAACTGATTCAAAATTACTTCCCCAGTCCGAAGCTCCACTGACCAAACCACAGCATTCAAACTGTTTAGTGAAAATAGGACAAAAAGTAGTCACCAAAAAGATTAAAACATTGTAAATACATTTAATTATATTCTTCTGAATATCATTATTCAGAAATATAAATATAATGAAAGTCACCTCACCCACTTCCCTAAATGTAGCAGAAAAATGAAAAATTTGCTTTTCATTTTGGTCCTAATAGTAACAGAGGAAAAATTGGGCCAAGATGCCAAAGTCTGAGGAACTTGGAATAAAATTGCTTTAAAAACTTTTCCTTTTAGTTTTAATGACAAAAGAGAGAACAATAGAGTCAGATGTATATTAGATTTTAGCAAAGAAGCTTCCAAAGAGTGCATGAGAGTTAATGTCTCATTAAAGAACTGTTATTTAAAAGAAATGAAAAGTTTTAACACTAAAATTTCCATCGCATGGTCTCTGATCACTGTTGGAAGCAAGGAGGAAAAAGGATGAGAGGTGCTTCGAAGACCAAAGAGGGTACTCCAGGGCACCTCCCCAGAGATTGAATTTTCATATTAAAATTTTCATTTTAACATAGGTGAGGGAGTACAAACAAAAGATAAGGCTTTTAGACTAATGAAAGAAACAGTAAGGCCCAAAATAAACTAAAAAATGTTGAAACACAAATGATGGAGTGTGGGGAGAGAGTGCCCATATTTGAGGAAAGAAAACAGGAAGTGATAAGCCCAATGACTTAGCATATATGACCCATAATATTATTAAAGGTGAAAAGTTATTATTCCACATCTTGCTCCTAACTGCTCTATTCGAGAAAAGATCATTAAGGCAGAAATGGCAGGAAGAAAATGCTAAAGAAAGTAGAGTCAATTCTGGGTGATCTTGTCCAGGCTTTGACACACTGAAATGTGAGAATATTGAAAGAACTTTCACTTAATGGTTAGGTAACCATGTTAGCCACATTTCTTAAACCTCTCTCTGCAGCAGTTCCTTCATCTGTCAAATACAGATAATAATAATTCCTAGTAATACCATCTAATTTGGAGATTTATTGTAAAGACAATGAGAAAATTTATGTGATGCTACGAACTGCTCACCCCAGTGCCAGGGTGATACAAAACACTCAATAATATGCATTAGCTGCTATAACTTTGTTTTTGTTATCTATTGTGGTTGTTTTTGTTGTAGTTTTTGCTATGTTCACACATGAACATGAGCTTTTCAAAATTCTTGTCAGTTGTTTGTATAAAGACAGAAGTATCAGTTCAACACTATAGTTGATTTAGAGTTGGGAGTAATGATTAATATGCTACAGAACTAAATCTAGTTTCAAAGATGGTCCAACAATGAATTTAAACTAACAAGTTCAATTGAGGCAATATAAAGTTTTTAACCTTGGTCCAAAGATGGAATTGCAAAGAGCTGGAAATTTCAGTTAGTTCCAAGATCAATATTAGTAAAGAGGACAGTCTAGAAACAACCTCCTTTCCTATTTCCATGGTAGACATGACTAGATGTTTACACTTTCTTATTACATAATGTTGAATAGTATTGATAGATACTCTACATAAAATAGTAATAAACCCCCTCTTTGTATACACAGATCACTTCATATTAGGAATACAATTACCTCAGTTTTTTTAGGAAGGCAGAAAGAAATACAGTAGGAGATAGGAAAACTAAAGCTTTTCTTATCTCTAGATCATCAATGGAAGAAGCTAAGGAAGAAAGTGACAGAACTTATTGAAAGTTGAATAGCAGTTGGATGAAAAAAAAATTATGCAGTACCGCTTAACAAATAGTTATTACTAAGAATCTGTAACAGGAATATCCCATCATTAGTTATAGGGAATTTGTGTGGGAATTTCCTGAAATCCAAAAAGAAAGCCACTCAGCAGCTGCAACTGTCTATGTGTACAAGTACCCCAGGTCACTCAGTCAGAGCTTATGGTTTAGAATAGGGTCTTTTTTCCCAAAGAAGTATAACTTTTAAAAAAGCCAAAGTAGATAAGTGAACAGAAAATAAAAACAAACTCAGAAAGGATAACAAGAAAGAAATACAGTCTATAAACACAAACACTTCCAACACAGAATTTCAGCACAAAATGGGAGCATAACAGGAGAACATGCTGCAAAAGACAGAACATTCAGAAACTCACAGTTGGCACCAAAACCTAAAGTTCCGGGAAAAATGTGCAGCAAAAATGGCTCAAGACATAACCCACAAGCTCAGTGGTTACCTCTGTTCCTTTATATCCTGGATCAGCTTACTAGAGAGGGTCAGAAAGCTCAGCCCCAACCAGTGAAAGAACAGCAATTGCCTAAATTCTTACTGCTTTAACTGTATTAGTTCGTGATCTAGAGTGGGAATGATAAAGGAGGAGAGGCAAAGGATGCAGCTACAGAGAAGCTAGGTAAAAAGAATAAAATGGAGGAAGTTAAACAAGGACTGACCCGTACCAGGTTTCAGTTCTGGGAAATAATGCTTTAGGCAGAATATTTTATAAACTGGAGTAAATCCAAATAGGAATTGGTTAATGCTCTGGGAAAACAAATTAATCTGATGAATAGCTCTCAGGAAACTAAGGATGTTTCAACTTGAAAGGCAAGCCTTTAGGAATTATGCAATGGCCACTTTCAAAAAGCCTGCGATGTGTAGGACCATTGGTAGTCTTTGTTTTTCCTCTTAAACTCCAGTACTAGGACTAAATACTCTATATTCTAAGGAGGTAGATTTTGTTTGAAAATAGGAAAGAACACACTAATCATCAGACTTAAATATAGGGGATAGGTAAAAATTGGTAAACTTTCAGCTTTTTGATATCTACTGATGGATATGCATGAATATATAATCAATCAATGAAACGTCAGGATAAATGACCTATGAAATTCAGCCCTCCACTAAGATTCTGAAAACTCCCACAACATGCCTAAAGTGAATGCTACTAGTAGTTAACATGATGGGAATTCTGGATAGAAAGGTGTAGTTAAGAAGAGCTTCATAGAGTAGCTAATATTTTTGTCAAACCATAAAGTGCATGGATTCAGAAAGAAAAAGCAGTAAGCACATTCCAAGGGTGAGGAATGGTGCAATGGCTGGATGACAGAGTTGCTCAAGGGACCTTGAGTCGACAAACCTGGCTGGACAAGATTATTTAGGGAGTAGTGTTTAGTAAAGTTAAAAGATTGGGTGGGAACCAGAGAGAATAACTTTAATGCCTTTTGATTTTATCCCAAAGGCAAAGTGGGAAGGAGGAGGAGGAGGAGGAGGAGGAGGAGGAGGAGGAG